TAAGGTAGCAAGGAATAGGTGATCTAGGGAGGAGATCTTTAGGAACACTGAAATATCAGAGTTTCCTCTTGCTGAGAGAATCAGCCAGGTTTTGGGGTAAATGAAAGTGGCCTGTCACACCAGTGCTTTTACTCCTTTCAGTGTGGGAGGGATAGATGAAGAATTTAGGAGTGGTAAGTACCAAAGTTTAAGAAGTGTCTGGCCCATTTTGATATTATCAGAAGCTTTTCAGAGATATTTTAAAACCACTCTTAATACAATGACACAGACGTGCTGGAAAAAAGGGAAAGTGAATACAATGCATGCACTTCTCAGTTCCTTCTCCTACCTGGGATTTAAAAGATTGAGATTTTCAAACCAAAGGTGTTGGACAAGTGTTGTGCTAAGAGAAACTAGGCATCCCATGCACCGAAATCCACCAGCCCCTCATTCCAAACGACTCCCTGGAGTTCTTCCTGGGAAGGCCTGCAATGACCTTGGCACTGGCTGAACGAGAAACACTGTTTTGGGGGTGTCAGCCATTCTCCACCATGGCTGCAAGGCCTGAGAAGATAGTCAAAGCCACAGAAACTGAGCACCCCCGCAAACATTCCCTTTCAGGAAGTCTGTTGCTCACTCTTTACTCCTGCTTGGTCTTCCTTGCCTCACCATTACTCCTATCTCATTTTCCTTTTTCTGGGAAACAAATCAAACCCCAAAACTATCAAGCATCCTCCATGGTCATCAAAGTGCAACCAGCCATAAGCACCCTCAAACGTGGGAGACTTGAAAGAGATTTGAACCCCTAAGTGATGGGTCTGGGAGGCCCCCCGACATCTTCACTTCTCTGGGGTCTTACCTGTGTCTGACGCTGCTTCTTCGCCCCTGGAGCTGCTGCAGCTTTTTTGGGCTCTTCTGTGTAATGCTTGTCAGTTTTTCGTTTTTCTTTTTTAAGGTTGTGAAAAAGTTTTGGATGCAACCTAGTTTTGGTGGAAGAAGGAAATGGTTTCTGTTGGGAAGGGAAACTATAAAGGGAGGAGGGGTAGCGATGTCGGGAGACACTAGCCCAGGGCTCAGCACTGGGCCTCTTTTTGCCAGGGGACAACGGCTGGTTCTGGGCTCTCAGGCTGAAAGGAGCGCTCTCTGGGTGCCAGGATTTCACTGGGGGTGGTGTGGTGAGGAGGGAGGGAAGAAGGGAGGGAGGGAGAAAAGGAGAGATGGGCACTCGATTTTTAAAGAGACCCCGAAATAATGGCTTCTATGAGAGTCCGGGCTTTCAAAGAGGTGTGTTCAAGGATATGAGTGCATTCCTGCCAAGGGGAATGTCTTTTATGGTAAATTAACTCCGGTTAAATTGAATATTTGTTCAAAGGGAAACTCCAGTAGTTAAAGCTGGTATTATCAGTAGAGCGTCCCCGCCCCCTCCCCTCAGAATCTGGTGAGGGTGAGAAAAGGGATGCAGTATAATGTGCAATACAAAGTGATGCTTTCGCGGCGGTGGTTTTTGTGTGTGTGTTTTAATCTAAGATGAGGTTGCCTAAAATTTCCGAGAGAGACGAGTATTTACTTGGATTAACCCCGACTGTCACCTCATTTCTTTCATCCAAAAAGACTGTCAACTTTATCCCAGCTTTTCAAAAAGAAGAAATGACCCGCACAAAGGAAATTAACGTTGTCAGAACGCTGACTTGAGGATTTGCCGGGGCAGGGGCGGGGGCCGCAGGGAGGCCGCTCCCAGGGCGTGTGGCCGAAGGGGTTAACTCGCTGGGGTCCGCGCGATTTCCCCGACTTTACCTGTCTCCCCAACCCCAGCAGCCCCCCTCCCCGGCCTCCTCAACTCCCCGCCCCCCAGCGCCTTTCTTCTTTGGGCTCTGGGTTTGCGGGGGCTGCAGCTGGTAAACTTGGCAAGCTCGCCTCATTAACAGCGCTCTTTGAAAACTGACTGTGTTTGAGCATTTCCCTAATGAGGACAGGACGGGGTTAAAAAGTGACCATTTCATGGTTGACTTGAACCTGCCTACTTTTCTTGATGTGTCGTTGTGAAATGCTTGATGTGGATAACTCCCACTAGGTGAAGGAAAAAGTCACTGGTTCCTCCAGGTCCGCTGGGGGAGGGAGGAGGGGAAGGTGGGCAAAAGCGGGAGGGACTGAGAGGGGCGAAAGTTGAGGGGACAAATCCAGAGCTGGGCAGCGGTGGAACGAGGACAGGCGAATCGGGGGCGAGCCTTGAAACTCCCCAGCTGTACCCGTGGAAGCGGGGCGGCCCCGCCCTGGGGATGGGCCCGGGAGGACCCGGCAGCCCTAGCCCCCGGCGCAGCCCCTCGCTAGGTAGACGCAGAGCCCCAGGCGCTCACTTTTCCTCTCTCCATTGTCTGGGCGTCCTTTGCTTCCACCTCTTCCCCACCCACCCCAAGCAGAAAACCGGATTTGGGGGGCGGTATGTGTGTGTGTGGGTGTAGAAAGGGTGCAAGGCGAACCGCCTCCCTCAAAAACCCCGGAATCAAGTTCATTCACTCGGAGCCGGCACCAGCGACGGGGTGGGGGCGGGGCAGCGCCGCGGTGGGGAGCGGGCGCGGGCGCCGAGCGGCTCCGGGCAGGCCGCCTCTGGAGGGCTGCAGCGGCACACGCACACCGCGCGCGCGCGCCCGCGTCCCCCGCCTGCCCACCCCGCAGCCCCGGGAGCGCCGCGGCCTCGCCCCGCCTGCACCCGGGCGGGTAGGGAGACGCTTTCCGCCGGCGCCCCGGGCCCCGGGGGGTGGGGATTGGGAGCCAGCCAGAGGGGCTGCAGGAGGAGAAGAGCGGAGCCGGGCGCAGGGAGGAGGAGGAGGAGGAGTGAGCAGGAGGCGGCGGCGGCTCGGCCCGGTCCTCCCGCTCCGAGTGAGGCCACGTGCACGGGGCACCCCAGTGGAGGGCGGCAAACCGAAGCGAAGCGCCGCGCGCCGCGACTGCCCCGGGCGCGGGCCCGCGGTGGGGAGACCCGGGAGGACCCCTCACCCCCTCCCTACCCATGAACCCGGGCTCCCGGCGAGGCCATCAGGGGCTGGGCGCCAAGTCCCCCAGGTCCTTGCCGGGGCTCCCCAACTACTTGAGCCCAAGTTCGCTCAGGCCCCCGCCTGCTCGGTCTCCCCCTCCTCCCTGCAGCCTCGGGCTCCACGGACAGTGCCCGCCCCGGGTGCGAGTGTCGGCGCCCCAGCCCCGGCCCGGGGGCGGCCTGGGTGTGAGGGAATTTTCCACTTGTTCCTTTCTCGGGCTCAGACCGGTTCAGTGCTTCTCCCACTCGGATGTTCCTGCGGCTTAAAGAGTCCACAGCGAGCACTGAAATACCTCTTCTAGGGCGGGTTTTCGGGAGTGTTTGTGTGTGCTGGTGTGGGGAGGGCAGCGGAAAGAAGAGATATTTTGGGAAAAAAAAAAAAAAAAGTCATGGTTCTGTGGCACCGGTAGGATACCTTTAACAAATGAGGGAGAGGTGGGGGGAGAGGAGGAGAAGGAGGAGGAGGAGGAGGAAGGTGGGGGGCGGGGGGTGTGGAGAGGCTGGTGCAAAAGGAATGCGCGTTTGCAGGAGGAGGAGTAAAGCGATGATTGTGTAATTAAATAATAAAACAATCCTTAAGTCTGATTTGGAGAGAGCTCGAGCGGGGTCCAGAGGGTGGAACCGGTGAATTTTTCAACTTCCAAGTTTTGCAACGAAAGAAAGCAAGAGAGGGAGGGAAAAAAAAAGAGCCCAGAGCAGAAAAGAGAGGAGTTTGGAGCCGAGCGGGAGAGCGGGATTTATCGTTTGGAATTTTTCAGGAGATCGTTTCGATCCCCCTGGGCTCTGGGCAGCGGCGGCAACAGCAGCCTCTACGCTCGGCCGGGTCAGACGCGGGGCGAGGCGGGCGGGCGGGCGGCCGGGCGCCGAAGACCCGGCGCGGGCGGCGGCGGCGGCGGCGGCTGCTGCAGCCGGGGACCACGCGCCGCGAGCCTCTTCCGCCCGGGAGATCAGCGCTCGCGCCCCCTCCCTCACCCCGGCCTCTCCCTTCTTCCCCACCCCACCCCTGCCCTCTCCCGCGCGCGCCCAGCCACCCGCGCGCACTCGCTCACGCTGCCCCTCGCGCACACACATGGTCGGCTCGCGGCAAAGTTTCGCTTGCGATCACCACTCCGGGATCCTGCCGCAGTGCTTGGGGCTGTAACCTTGAACTTTCCCAGCGCGGTGACACATTCTCCCTGCTCTCCCTCCTGCCCGCCCTCCTGCGCCCCCCTCCCCGCCTTTTTTCAAAAAGCATCTCACCACCAACCATCACCCCAAACCAACCCACACCGAACCTTCGCGCACCCCCTACCCCCCAACAACAACAACAACTGCAAAACAGAAAACAAATCCCCAAACCCAGGCGAAAAGCAGCCAACACCGGTGGCGACAGCGGCCTCGGCAAGCACGGCCAGCGCCCTCGGACTGCAGGAGGGTTAAAAGTGTAGATTGGATTTCACCCCGGGAAATCTAGCACGCGGAGTGAACTTGAATCTTTGGCTATTTAAGGAGGACTGGGTTTGTTGTGAAGTTGCGGTGATCCAGCGCAGAGCCAGGTCCTGATTGATCGCATCGCGGGCTCAGATGACTGTAAAATGAATAGATGAAATTCTTGCTTCTAGAAGATTTTCTTGGGCATCTCCGGGAAAGTGCGTTTTAAGGCGAAGTCATGATGTATTCTCCCATCTGTCTCACTCAGGTACATGTCTCCGTCGCTTTCTCGAGCTTTCTCTCTGGCCCGAAATGCCTTTGTTTTGTTTTGTTGCTGACAATTAACGGCTTGAGTTAACCTCTGCATATCCCCGTCCCTTGGAGAAGTGGCTCGGAGTTGGAGCAGGCGTCGCGGGGCGGCGTGGGAGCCGGAGAGCGGCCCCTCGCCCACGGACACCGCGAGCGCCCAGCCCCGCGCCCTGGGAAAGGAGAGCGGGCGCTGGGCCGGGCAAGGCCGCCAGGGGTGGGCAGGGCCGGGACTCGTAAGTGCGAGGCCCCGTGCGGCCCCCCAAGTGCCCGTTGCGGTGTGGCATCCCAGCCCAAGGTGCCCGCAGCTCCCTCGCCAGCTCGAGGCGGACTCGGGTTTAGGAGGACTTTAGGGGGACTAAGCTTTTAAAAACAGCCGGTGAACTTGGACGAGGGGACTGTAGCAGGAGTCTGTGTGGGCGCTGCTGGACTCCCCTGCAGGCGGTGGGCGGGCGACGAAGCAAGTCGGAGGTTGTGGTCCGGGGACCCATTCCTTTGCTTTATTTGGGGATCTGAAACCCTGGTCCACAGTGACCCGCTGCACTTTGGGGTTTCCAGTGACTGCACCGCAAAGGCAGTCTTTACGTTGACACGAGTTAGGCTGTCTTGGTGATTGTTAAGGAGTTTTAGAATGTTTTCATTTTGTGGAAACCTGTTCGTTTGACGATATTTGGGCGTAGCTAGCTCGTAAGGCATTTTATGGAATGCTGGAAAAGTAAGGTCATTTTTTTTTCTACTTTGAGAATTGTCCTAAGACCTTAGGAATAATGTTATGAAATAAAACACTGGCTTTATACTTTAAAAAAAACGATTTGTATCACTTTAAGCCAGACGGTCAAATAGAAAAGTGGTGAGACCCAACAGACTTACCTGAGGGCAGTTTTCATTGCTGCCCAGGGAACTAACAGCTGACAAAGTAACTAAAATATCTTAGCCCAGAACTGTTATTTGATGCAGTATTTTCAACCTCTAAAGGTATGGGGCAGCTTACTTAAGCTTTTAGGAAGATGTGTCACCTTTGGTAATTGATAACCATTTTCTTTGACATTGACATAAAAACTAATCAGTTAAAGAAGTGTCAGCCAGTCTTGGGTGTGTTCAAATTTTTAAAATATCTAATATCATGATGATGCATTTTTATAATGAACAAATAATTAAGATTTCAATTGTGTGACTATTAGAAGTCATTGTGATTCAAAAGGACTGAGGCATTCATAAATTGTGAATGAAGATGAAAACAATGATAAGGCTTATTCAGTGATTGGATACAGTCCTGTAGCTTTTTGGCTGACACATTTTTTATTGTTTATATTTTGTTTGGCATCCGAGTATGATTAACTTAGATATGGCTATTTTCAGCAAGTAAACATGCACTTTAATTTAACAAAACTGTAAAAATGAGTTGCTGAGCTATTTGTATTTTAAAAGCCATGAATGATAATAGCCAATAACTATGATGAAACTGTGTCAGGTATAACGAATTGTCTTTAGTTGTAAAGTTACCATTAACGTGACCCATCAACCGGGTATATTTTTCTCTCTTTCTGATAAGTTATGTTCACTTGATATTATTTTTACACAGTGAACAAATAAAACAAGTCAAAGCAAGATTTTCACTTACAGAATATAGCATCACTTATTCTCACCTGTAAAAGACTGAATAATTGTGCATTTCTCTGTATTTCTATTTCTAGCATCAGCTTTTCAGAAACATTGCTAGCAATTACACTGCATTTTTAGTTTTCTCCAAATATGTATTGAAAAGTCACTAGTTTTATCTTAATTTGTGTAAGTTAAAAATAATATTGCAGCACTGAGACATATGGAATGTTGGGAGCATATACAGCATAATCATTCAGCTATCACATTAGTATTCAAAGATACATACTTACCAACAATAACTTGTGATGACTAATATTTTCTACTATTTTAATAATACAAATCTAGGTTTATGTATAAAAACAAGGCCCATACCAGGGAAGGAATTTTAGCTTAAGAATTCTCACTTCACAAAGCTCCATGTGACTTTGCAGGTAATGTAGGTGTTATAAAAGTGAGGCTGCATTAATAGTGTTACTTTTGTATCAGATCAATAGTTTTGTATCACAAGAGCCTAGTAGCTGTAGCAAAACATGTTTCAGGACATGTAAATTGCAAAATAGAGTATCATTCTTCATTTATTATAACCTTTAAAAGTATCTCAATTATTGCAATAAGACATCTAGGTTTTAGAGAAAAAAAATCTTAATTTAAAAGGACCTACCATTAAATGTTATATTTAGTAAAATGATAGGCTACAGAATGAGCATATCAATAATCAATATTTCTATACCAGTATAAATCAGATATAAAAGAAAAATTAAGACCTATCACATATGGTTTAATATTTGTTAAAAATAATGTAAACTATTAATAATGTAACTTTCAATTGGCATGATGGCATTACATATATTTTTCTTTCATTGCTTTTAAGTTCTTTAGGTACATTTTTTTGCATGGTTTATTGTTACATAGCAATGCTCCAAGAACACTTAGTATTTACTCTCCTACCTCTATATGGGTCTGATTATCCATCCCTTTCATGGAAGCGGAAGAAAAATAAATATGCTTAGTGGAATTAACACCCTTTACTTTTATATCTGAAATTTGTAACTTGGTTATTTACTTTGTCAATTTAGGTCAATTAAAGGAAGTTTTAAAAGAGAGTTCAACACCAATACATTTTAATAAAAATTCTGAAAGAGCAAAGTTGTATATTACCTTTGTATACAGCTGTTTGATTTTAAATCTTTTATATGTTTTGCTTTTTTAAAAATTTTTTTGTAGTTGCTTAATGTTATTGTAATAATCCACTACTAGTTAGGATATTTAGAAACCTTAATTGCCTTTTTAAAAACATTTTTTATCAGGGCAGTTACCATGCTCCATATTCATGTCACTAATAATCTTTAAGAATATAGTGCTACTCATCATTAGGAAACAGTCACACTTGGGAGATGACATTTAGGTATGTTAATACAGAAATGTATGTGACTTAGAGCAAACCTCAACTTAAAGTCATTTTTGGAAGACATGTCCCCTTGTCAAATAAGTGCTTCACCTGAAAGGAATTTACATGATAGTGAAAGCCTGAACGATATCAATAAGGCAAATTGGCAGCCTGAGAAAGTTTGCTACTTCTATTTATCAATTAAAAAAAAGGATGTTTTAAAACAATATTTGGCAGCATTGACAGCAAACTCAAAAGAATGTTTAAAAACTATGTTTTGTGTGCATTTGCTAAGAATTTTCAAATTCAACCTTCAAATTTGGATTTGGTTGTTTAAAATAACTCATTAAAATTTTGAACTTTCTTGCATGATAGATTATGTTTATAGTCAAATATTGAAACTCAAAAAATTTAATCAAAATTGTGTTTTATGTCTTTATAAGAAAATGGAATGTCACTGAACATAGTACTTAAGGACGTAAGTACTTATGTGTTACCACAGGGCTTAATATTTGTAAAATTATATTGCATTTTAAAAAGCATGGCAAGGGTAAAGTGAGTGAGACAAAGCCCACCCACTCTACCTCATGTGCTCTTTACATTCTCAAAGTTTTAGTTTATGAGTGTGTATATATGTGTTTTTTAGTCATATCAATAAATCATAGTAATAGATTATAGGAAGTGAGTTACCAAAGCACATTTAAGTCCACATTTCCTTGAGCAGACTTTCCTTTTGCATATATTCCTAAAGGGGATAAACAAAGTTTTTGTAGTTACAGTGAAAGCTAAAAGCATGGCATCAGAAAGTGTATGGAGATAGGGAGGTCTTATCATGGGATGTGGTTGCTGTGAGCAGGGCTGCCTTCCCACACAAAGAACAGATTGTGGTTTAACTCTTTCCATGGCCTAGTTTAATGTGCTCGCATAGTAACCGAATTGTTCAAACCTCTGCTGGAAACTACTGATCGGTTTAATGATTTCCTCTATGGCATTTGGTTTTGCCTCATGCTGTGATGTAATCATCTGCATTCTGTATTCTTATAAAATTTTGATTCATACTTATTCTGGTGTAGGAACATTTACAGCAATGTTAGAACACTTGATAACTACATTATTGATTGGATGGGACATGTACTTCCATAGCTGAAGTGCATGTTGCAGTGTGTAGCATTAAAACTTTGAATTTCTTCTTAAAACTGCATTCATATCTATATTGGATTTTTTTGACACCTTCTTTGTTAAAGAATCGTTAGTTGTACTTTCATCATATTTACCTAATGGAATTAGTCAGTCTACTGGCTAAATAGAATTTATTCCACGTAGTTCAGGGTGATTAACATGGGTATGTAAATTCTAACTTGGAATACAATCAGAGAGAGTTATTTTGTAGCTGTGCTGAACAATATAGTCAATATGATCAGAAAAGTGGTGGTGGAAGTTCTCATTTGCTTCAAGCTTGGCTTATTGCATACATACGGTGTACATGCACAAGACGTTAAGCTCTTTCTCTTTGAACAGTAATAGGCCTAAGCTTATAAGACAGGTTTTACCTAAATCAGGAAGTAGTGAAACTGACTGCACTGGGAAGTAACTTGAAATATCTGTAGGTAAAGGTTATCTGCCATTCCTCACTGCTCCCCTCGATTAAAAAAAGGCTGGATGAAACAGGCAGGAAAAATGCAGAAGCCTACAGGTAACCTACTTAATTCAAAAGACGGGTACTATATAATCTATGTACCTGCAAATTCACAAGCACATGTGTATATGCACCCACAGTTCTGTCTGAGAATTCATCTACGTGGCAAATGAATTGTATAGAATCCACAAAAGCAGTAACTGATCAGCAGCGCACTCCTGGTGTCATCCTACCACGGCATGCAGAGACACAAAGAAAATAAAGTTGGTGCAAAGTTGCCATTTTTCATTGTTCACCTCAGATTGATTTTTAAGGGTTTTAGAATAATTGACATACTCGTGATCGGTTAACAAATTAACGGACTCTGTAGGGCTTCATATTCTATACTGGAAGCTGCTGGAAGAACATTTATGTAATTTTTGTTTTCAAGTTTGAGAACTATTAAAAGACGCAAGAGTGTGTGTGAGAGTGCAAGTGTGTGTGTGTGTGTGTGTGTGTGTGTGTGTGTTGGGAGCTGGTGTTGGTAGTGTGAGGAGAGAATGCACTGCTTAAAGTATGGAAACCTTCTGTTCAGGACACTGATACGACGAGCTGTGTCCTTTGCCCACTTTCCCTTACTGTATACCGGTTTCTCTAGTTACCACTCTTGGAATGGTGCTGTTTCAGTGTTGGAATGTTGGACGTTTGATAAGAAAATGGATCAAGTTTAATGGCGCATGCTCTTTGTGCCACCAGCAGCCTCTTGCTGAGAGCATGCTCCAAAAGCGGGAACTGTGTGGCATTACACTGAGCATCTATATGCTTTGTGTTTCTGTGCCACAGAGAAGAGAAATGAACTGTGGCATCGCTCCTGCCTTCTGAACAGCTCTGCTTCGATTAAAAAAAAATCTCACTGTGTTCTTTGTAAAATGGTACTGCATAGTGTTAGTTGTTGAATCAAATATTGAAATATTATATTAGGTGCCAAGCACCTTAGTTAGTTGCATATATTTTAAAGAATGTAGAATGCATGGCATTGGGGTGGGAACAAGGGGGATGGGGCCAGAGTGTAAATACAAAATATAAATCTTATTTTCTTTATAGGAGGGAGAATTGACCTGTGAATTTTGGTGGAAAGGGGACAGCTGGGCATACTTTACTTTCTTCTTGTCCTGTTATTTTGATAATTTTAAATAAGAAAGGAATGTGATTTTCATGTATAACTTTTTGTACTGAATTGGAAACGGATTGTGTTCTTATTTTCTGAGCTTTTAAAATTAAACTGACTATGCACATCTTTCCCTCACCCCTCCCCACCCGTCTTCCACAGGATGAATTTCACCCATTCATCGAGGCACTTCTTCCACATGTCCGTGCAATTGCCTATACTTGGTTCAACCTGCAGGCTCGAAAACGCAAGTACTTTAAAAAGCATGAGAAGCGAATGTCAAAGGATGAAGAAAGAGCAGTCAAAGATGAGCTTCTCAGTGAAAAGCCTGAAATCAAACAGAAGTGGGCATCCAGGCTCCTGGCCAAACTGCGCAAAGATATCCGCCAGGAGTATCGAGAGGACTTTGTGCTCACCGTGACTGGCAAGAAGCACCCGTGCTGTGTCTTATCCAATCCCGACCAGAAGGGTAAGATTAGGAGAATCGACTGCCTGCGACAGGCAGACAAAGTCTGGCGTCTGGATCTAGTCATGGTGATCCTGTTCAAAGGCATCCCCTTGGAAAGTACCGATGGAGAGCGGCTCATGAAATCCCCACATTGCACAAACCCAGCACTTTGTGTCCAGCCACATCATATCACAGTATCAGTTAAGGAGCTTGATTTGTTTTTGGCATACTACGTGCAGGAGCAAGGTAGGAACAGATTGTTCTTTTTTCTAGCACGGCAAACATTGCCCACAAATCGCCGTAGACAGAGTACCTGGCTTGGGTTAGATGGTCCTCAAGGCCCGTAGATATCCTCCACCCTCTCTGGGTACAGTGGGGTGTCCACTTTCACTCACATGTCCACTGCCATGTGCGAACCATGTAAATAGACGCGGAGCTTTCATACCTGGATAGGCGTGGATATTTAAGACCACAAAGAGATGCGTTTTCAAGTATCTTTAAAATGATATTCTTTTTCAAAGACATAGGGTAGTCTAACAAATACAGTTAATTATACTTCACTTTCCTTCATAGTCTACATTTTTGCACCTAGTCTTGTAATCTTTTCCTGATTTGAAAATGTAACTTTATTTATGAATAGTCAAACCATCCTAAATAATTTTTGTATTAACCTTTTAAATTAATGAGGTAGAGGGACTTTGTTTTTTGAATTTAGTATATTGCACTGAAAACAGAACTAACATTTACTATTGCAAAATGCTTAAAATAGATAGTATCAAAAGGCATATCTTACGTAGACCTAGATTTACTTAATTTTCATATTTCTATCAACACCTACTTTTGATTGTGCAGTATTCACTGTAGATTAAATGGAATTGAGTTATTTAAACTATTTATAATATTTTCCCAGAGTTACTTGGGAACACTTACTAATGTTAGTTTACTTGTGTGTAAATTCATAAAACTTACCGAGGAGGAAAGTTGTAGCACTCCTTACAGAAGAAAAACAGAAAGCAGACTGGTTACACTGGTTTAAAATAAATCTCAAAAAGAATGCAGAAACCGCATACCATACCTATTATTTAAAATACCCGATAAGGAGAGTGGTATAGATGTTGCCTAAATAATTAATTTAAAAAGACGATGTTATTACTGAATACTTGAATTAATGAAATATGTTTATTATTTTTATTTGTCTTAATATATTTTCCTTAAGTAGGTGAGAATGTATTTTCTTCAAATAAGTGCATCAAGATATAGATGTCCTTGCATTAGCAACAGTCCATAGTAACAAACATTTTACAAAGCAGCATACCAAAAGTAGACTGAAGTTTGAGCTGTCACAGATGGTGGGCATTTTCCAAACTTGGCCTTGTGGGGGGAAAAATGGCCTGCAGATAGCCAGGTTACAGACGGTTATCTGATGTTTGTTATATAAATGTGGGACTTAATAAATTGCTATGACTTTATTATCGTTCAAAAAAAATCAAAATTACTTTTTTGACTCTAAAATCTAGGTACTCATTATGTGCTTTTGTCTTGATTTTCTTGGCATAGTTTTAGCGATATGCTTAAGTGTCATTTTAGGATTTTTAGTCTGATTGTAAATAATGGTGTTGGATATTGCACATTTAGCAATACTGCATTTTCCTGAAAAAATGCAACATTGCATTTCATATTTCCATGCATTTAAGAATTACAGTCCAAATAATGATGGTTTGGGGAAAATAATATTTTTGTCCCATGTGTCCTTAAATAAAACTCATTAACACATGACACTTAATTTGATTGACAGCTGTCTAGTAGGCGACACTTTAAGGTGGGCTGTATATATGTGTTGAATCGACTATAAATGTGTTATAACTGTGTTGTGAAAGTCAAGGAAGTAAAGTTTCAAAAAGTGGGTCATGTAACTTTTTAGTGCAGAGAGAGAAGATTTGCAACCACTTCCTTACTGCTCATTTTTTAAGTTGCTTGAAGACTAGGTTTTGAGGTGCACCTGCCCACATGCACATTTACTCCTGGGGCAGGCAGCCAACTCTTAGTTTTCATGAACTGACAATAAAGATTTGTAAAGATAGATTGAAAGAAGGAAAAAAAAATACATAAATGTCTTCCATGTTGCACCACCGGTCATGATAATCATAAAGTTTTAAGCAACTCTTAGAGACCACGTTTTGGATAAAACACTGATTTTGTGGTTGTTGGTTCAACGATCTCTGTTCTGAGAACTTTTCATTATTTTATTTTGTTCATCTAACTTGTATCCTCTGCTACCTGCCAGTACATCGTCTTCTCTTATCATCTGTTGGTTCTTCTTTTGAAAAACTCTCGTCAGGATGCTTTTGTGTCTTTCCTTTTTCAAAATTTATATATATATTTTTGTCAAGTGTAGGTTAATTACGTTGTTTTGTAGTGCAATTTATTGAAGAAGGTGGATTTTAAAAGATAATTCTCTAGGCAGAGGGCTGCAGCTTGAGAGTCATGACTTTTTATTTCTCTTCTAAGTACATGATAACCCACTTAAGTGTGTTTTATAAATCAGGTAAAGAAGTATAAAGGAAAACATGAAAGAAAAATCAGAAAAGAGAAATGTAACGTCTGTAACAGAAAGAGCAACAAAATTACATTTCCCCCTTTTTCTCTCTCCCCACTTCTAACTGACTGGGAGAAAAACATGAGAAAGAACAGAGAATGCCAAAGATGGTTGCCACTGGCACCAGGATTGGCATCAGACCCTCTTTGTTTAGCTCAGGACGTCTGTGATTTGTTAGTTGGCATCCGCATTGCAGTGTGGAGTGATGTTACAATATATTGACAATTTCCAGATCTAGAAATGTCAATAGTCCTTTTGGTTATTTATACAAGATCACATACTGCATCTCTTCTGGAAGATGAAATAAAGACCAACATATAGTAAAGTTTCATTGTTGACCAACTTCCTATGCATTTCTTTTTACCTCTTTCTCTTTTGGTTCAACCAACACTTTTTTTCTTTCTTCATGCCCAGCAGCCTCATCTTTCTGAAATGTGGAAAGAGTTACTAGAGCTTTGACACAAGCTGTAGTGCTACATCTGCATCTGATATGGTTTGGGGAAAAATTTATGCTTTTTGAAATCATTTTTAATATATAGTTCATTAGACTTTTGCATTACACGGCCATAAGGCAGGATTTTCTTTAAAGCTAAATCTCTTTGTTATTCGGCTTCTATGCATATAGTCTGGTTGACCGCAATTCAGTCCATTTTGCTAGTTCCTTATATTAGAAAAGGGTGATGTTCAATATAGTTGTTTATAAAATTAAATGTTCCCCTGCATTTCACCTAAAATGTACACATCATTTGGGAGTAACTGCGTTTAAATCCATAAAAATCATTTGATGTTATTGATTCAGAGGGCTGCGCTTCGGCTGTTTCGTTGCTACAAGAACCGCCATTTTGTTTGTGAAGTGCCAGGCGAGGGGGAAAAAAAAGGCAGACACTGTGTTTGATGCCAATAATGGTTGCCAGTGGCACCGAGGTTGGCATCAGACCCTCTTTGTCTAGTTGCTGAATGCCTTTGATTCGTTGGTTGGCATCCGCATTGCAGTGGGCACACTGGAAAGTTTTTGACAATCCCTGAATGAAAGCTGCTTGCTTGTTTGCTGCAGCAAACCTTAGCTAATATAAAACTCTTCCTTTTTTTGGGTTTTGCCTAAAAAAATTGTGACAGATTAAAGAAAAAATAGCTTTAAATGATATCCATTTTCCCAAAGATATTAAAGATGTCCAATGATTCTTGGGCAGGTGGTACCTATTCCCCATATTGTCTTTGTTATTTGCATTGATGAAAGCAAAGCAAAATAAAACCAAACAAAAACCAGACAAACCTTGCACAGCACACCTTCCTTGGATGTAAGTGTCCTATAGGATGCAGGGTGTACTACGACAACTGTGTGGAAGACAAACCTAACGTAGTGATATGTAACGCATTCATTATGACTGACTGTTGCTCTCAGTCACATCACTGCTTATTTCTTATGCAATTTCTAGTTCCTTCACTTTCCACTCTTGCAAATTTTATAGTAACATTTGAGAGACCCTGGTTTTTCCTCTCTAGTTAGAAATGTGTAACAGAATACATGTTTAAAAAGAGTGAGAGAAAACTTTAAAGAAGAGACCTATGTGTTAAGGTCTGATGTAAATCAGTCATTCTGGAATTTCTCAATTCTGCATTACAATGTTATGAAATTCTCAGTGCACAATTTTGTACACTGGAAAAATCAGCCAAAAGGCTAAAATAATTTTGGTTAAAGTTTCCTAGAGAGTTAGCATTAATACTGCTTTTCAGTTAACCACCGTTATCTCATTAATTAATAAGAAGGATTAGCAGTTCTACCCAAAGGGCTGCACAGAAGGAAGTCTGGCCTATGGGGGGCCTTGAGTTGCCAGACTGTGTCCTGTCTGAAGGGGAAAAAAGGAAGGGGGTGGTGGTGATGGTGGGGGGCGGGGGGAGGGGTGGATCGGGGGTGGGATTGGCCTTTTTCTGAGGCAGGAAAGAGTTTTGAAGAGAGAGGTCACAACACACCAAGACATTTAAAGATCTCAAGAGATAGTAACTGTTGTTATATATGTAACAGATTAGAGTTTAAAATGAGTCAGCCTAACTGATTTTCGGACTGCATTTTGCACTCTTATTAAACATGTTTTGGAGTGTTAAGGAGAGCCCAGAAACCTCATTGCTACCCGAAAAAGGACTAGTTTCCTTTAGCCTTGTTGAACCCTTAAATTTACGATCACTTGTTGGATGGCCACTTTTGTTGCTTTATTGTTAAATGTTATAATAATTGAAGTACATTTTAAGTTGTGAAAAATGTGACTTGTTTACAGAGGAAGTTGTAATCATTATTATTGCTTTTGAAATAGAAGCCTTCCTGGTTGTCATACATCATTAGTGAGGAAGCAAATGCTAAGAATTATTTTCTTCCTACAGTTACTGAATTTCAGAATCCTTTTGGGTAACAATTATTTCTTTATGAAAAGCTTAAGTAGATAATTATTTGCAAGTTGGCAGTGTATTTTAACATTTTAATAGATTTCACTTCATTTGCAGGTATTTCCCATTCTGGGAAAAAATAAGATTTCGTAATTGATTAAAATGAGGCTGCTCTCTAGGATGATTTGGTGTGTCTGCATTGTGAAATGCTCTGGGAGCATAAAAGTTTGTGTGTAGGAGAAATACTTGGTATGCATATTTGATTTAGGGG